TAAAGGCCACCTGCCGCCGCATCTGGATTCCCCCCGTCGTCTGGAAGCCCTATACAGCTGCGTACGTTTGTTGGCAGCTCGCCGACGCCGCCACGTGGGCCATTCCCGCCATCTCATCAATGTCGACCACCGATTCATCACGGCCGCAACGAGGAGCAAGTGAATTTGAAGAGTGAATAAATGCGCAAGTAAAATGAACCCCTTTTAGCTTATTTTCACCATTCTACAAAATCTCACACTCTTATAGAAAATCCCTCAAAATAAAATAAATGTCAGGTCGAACTAAATCAAGCTGTTAATTATTAATTTGTTTGAAAATTCACTATGTTCTCTGCTTATTTTCCACTTTGATATATTATCCACTTTGAAATTAAAATATAATCCCTAATACACAGCAAAAAAATAATTTTGATATCACATCAAAGTGGATGCACTACAATCATGTCGAAAATTTCATGTAATTTTTATCACCACATAAATAAACAAATGCAGTAAAAGCAGCGTAATGTCAGTTCATGCATTGTATTAATGATAATTTTGTCCTTTTTAGCAAGTAATAGGGTATACGTCCCTAACCTCGGTCTAATATGCAGCCATAGATTACGTTTTTAATCATAACTCATCAATTAATTTACCTGCAAACGATATTCTACTGCTAAATGGTATGCTTAGATATGCTTATCATGTCGTTTGCTATCAGGAACCGCAAAAAGTTGAAAAACTTACTTTTTTTAAGACAAAAACTCACCAGGGAAATGTATGTAATATCGGTCTATTGTCCCCAAATTGGGTCTATTTATGGATGCAACTTCGTCCTATCCTGTTTGATTCTCAAAAAAAACGCTCTTGGTAACGTTTTCTTATGTATTTTTTTTTATCACTATCACTGTTAACTTAATACTCTTCATTCCTCAAAACATTTCTTAGAGAAAATTTTACGAAAACTACATTAAATCACTCAAGTTAAAAATTAAAAATTAAAAATTTCGCTTATCGTCTTTCGACCGCAGAATATCTAAATCAAAACATTGTGATGTTCATTATACAGATTTGGCAGAAAAAATCTCCCTTCCTGTTCGTTCCTTATCATCCAAATGCAAACCACATTGTTGACGTTACTCTTATTGCTATATGCTGTCAAATGAATTTCATGGGCCAAAGTTAGGAACATAGAAAAGAAATGTGTCCCTAAAGTTGGGTCCATGATTTACTTGTGAAAACGTTGTTAAACAATTAAAATAAACATAAAATATTCAAACAGTAACTGTGAGTTTTACGTCTAGTGTGTATTATCAGGTAATTCCATTCAATAAATGCCATAATCAGGCCATTTGATGATCGTCAGTGCAACCTTCCCATCTTAACCTTAGAAGTCATGGCGGCTAAAAACTCCGAACAGAGTGATATTCTCAACCAGTTTTATTACTTACGAGAGCTGAAAATGTATTGAAATGTTGTGATATAAATTGATTTGTGTGTGGTACACATTTATCAATCATCAGTGATCAATATTTTCCTTATTTTTTGTGTAATATTCCTTAATTAATTATTTATTTGCGTGATAGGCCGAATGAAAGGACTAGACCCACATTACATACCGTAACCCTATTACACCATATTTTCGACATGATTGTAGTGCATCCACTTTGACGTGATATCAAAATTATTTTTTTGCTGTGTAGAACATAACCCAGTGATCGAAGATTAGCACAAAAGGTGCAAAAAACGTTGAAATTTTTCTAGGTTACCAATTATTAAAATGACCCTAACAATTCTCACAAAAGAGGACCGCGGACGGTTGCAGTGGCTTGACCAGCAGCTAGGGGCGTAGACACGGGTCCTTCTGACCCTTGTGAAAGAGAAATAGTTTCATTGCATCCGTTGAGTCTCGCTGTTTCGAAGATGTACTGTAATTCCTTAACCTTTCCTGTATCGCTGAGTGGAAGAGTCTGCATCCGATGAATCATGTGGTGGAAGGCGGCCATTTTCTGCTGGAACGAACGGTTGGAAGTATAGGGGATAACTCTTTTGGTGTTTGTTGGTTTCCTGTAAATTTCGTATTCAAGCAAAGAAAGAAGATGATGACGATTCCCTGATGACTAGAAGATCGAGAAATGCGAGTTTCCCGTCTTTTCGTACCTCGTGAGTGAATTTGATATCCTTGTGAATTCTGTTGATCTAATCTAAAATTTGTGGGAGGGCTTCCCGTTTAACTACGCTGAAGATATCGTCAACAAACCTCCACCAACGGTTTGGTAATAGTCCTTTCTCCTTCAGGATTGTCTCCAAGTTGGCCATGAAAACACACTTAGAAATTACTAATTTTACACGTGACAGAATCCATCTTTGACATAAAAGATGAGACGTAAACAAACATGTCATGTAATATTAAGTGCTCCGAGACTGAAAAGTTCGTTGCTCAACGAAAAGTGCGTTTTATTGAGCTATATTTCACGTCTGTAATGACTCAAATTTATGTCAAAATTGACGCTCGTATATGTCACTCTCAGAGCACCTAAATTTACATGATTTTTTCTAAGTGTGTATATATCACTCTCAGAGCACCTAAATTTACATGAAGGTCACACAAGAAGGGGATAGGGGATTTCCCATTCTTTGGTACAAGCAATGTAAATATTTACCTTATTTGACAAAACCCAGGTACACACTTAGAATTTATTATTTTTACACGAGACGTAATTCTGCTTTGACGTAAATCATGGAACGTAAACAAACATGGCATGTAAAATTAAGTGTCCTGAAACTGAAACATAGACTGATAAATTAAACTAATCCCATTTTGCTTGAAATTTAATCAATTTGACATTAAACTCAGTTTAATCATATCGAATGATTAAAAATTATTACTCTCTTTCTAAAAAATAAGCGTCTGATATTAATCCCAGTTTAATAATGGTTGATTAGATTGTAGATTATCTTTTTTTGAATAAATTTTAATCATTTTTGATTCTATTTTAAAAATTTTGATTTCATTTTAATCTTTTTTAATTACATATCAGTATTGAAAAAGAATAAAATTTAATACTGGGAAGATTATTTCGATTTTAATCATGCATGATTACTGCCGAAGTAATCATGGCTCGGACTCAATAAGGTGAAGCGGGAATCTGCATATTTTTTAAGATTTTTTGATTTAATTTATCTTTGAGTGTATGCAACTCGACTAAAAGTGCGTTTGATTGAATTGATATTCTCGTCCTTTTCAACTGATTCTTATGTCAAAAGGGCCGCTTGCATGTGTCGGTCTCAAGGCACTGAAATTTACATGTCTTTTTCGTAGTGTGTAATCATGACAGCAGTAGGTCTCTTTTCTTCATTCAAATTGTTTTCAATAATCAAACGTCACGATTACCTGGGTTTTGTCAAATAAGGTAAATATTTACATTGCTTGCACCAAAGAATTGGGGCTTCTTTCGTCTGATTGTAGAAGTTACCTCGGAAAGAGCAGTAGTTCTCTTCCATACCAATGCGGGTCAGCTTAAGGTACGTCCAAACCTTGTTTTTCCATGCTGTATCCTCTCATTGTGTTAATAGCCAGTCCTCCAAATGGTTGATCGCTTCCTTGACTGGTACGCTGGGAAAAATTTCATAATATTTTATTTATTTTATTTTTTTTCTTTTACATATTTTTGGGAAGGTTCCGGATTCTAGTGACATATCAAAAAACCAAAACAATAGAGCAGCGAGTTCCATTGCTAGACTTTTCAAAAATACTGGAGGAATTCCGTCAGGTCTAGGATCTTTTGAAGCGTCTAAATTCTTGAAAATCTGTAATAGTATAGATTTCTTGAAAATAATAAATTGGCAAAAGAATACAATTTGTTTCCGAGCTATCCCCGACACGTTCGTCAAGATGCATTATTGATGGAAAATTGTCAGATTTTTATTTGGATTTTACGTAATTGAAGAAGTTTTTTGGACAGGACTTTATTTCAAGTTCAGTTTTTGAATTAAATTCTTCAAATGCAGTACTGATCGCATATGTCCAAATAGATGGCCAAATGTTCACTATCATTGTATTTTTTGTATTGTTTATGTGCTTTATGATTTCCATTTTTATGTTTTTTATTTGTCTGTTATCCTAGACTACATTTTTTGTGCTTCTGTAGTGTCTTTTTTTCCAAAATTATTCCTGATAAAATTTGGTAGAAGATGTCTACAGCAGGTTAGGCATTGCCTTCATTCCTTAGAATTATTTGCCAATCGACGTTGTTTAATTTATGTTTGATTTTTTCGTAGGCTGCTAATTTGTATTCAAAAACTTCCTCGTATTCGCAGTCGATGGGTCTTTGGTATACGTGCACAAATAAAGAATATTCAATTGCTGTGTGAAACGCTTCGTTTTTCCATAATGGGTTTAATGAGTCGGTCACACAGAAATCTTCATAAATTGTCGTAAGTAAGAAGTCTAAATAGCAATTTTGTTGGTTCTGAATGTGATTGATTTGGTTCAATCCTAAATTAGCAGTTTTGTCGAAAATGAATTGCAATTGACTCCGCAGTAGTATTGGCACATCTGCCTGTTTTTATGGGGTGGTTTTAAAATATTACTGAACTTAATGATTAAACAATGGGCAATAGGACATTTTCCCGAATTCAACCCTGCCTGAATGATGAACATTTGTTACACAATTTTCCTGCAGAAGAACTCAGCTTTACTCTCTCACTCTAACATTTCACGATATTGTTCAATTATGAAAGTGTCATGCCGCGTTGCTACGCAAGTGTCACCACCATCAACAGGCTGCTGAGTGCTTCTCTCTCACCTATTCTCTGCTGCTGGAGCAAACATCTTGCATTCTGATAACAAAATAACACTCACGAGCTCGTATAGGAGATGAGATTGCTCTCCAGCTCCCGTGGAAAAGCAGTCTTCTATGAGAGAAATTTTCCCAACCCCGGGAGAGTGAGTTCATCGAAAAAGTAACGTTCCTTGTTTTTCGCAATCTTCGCGCACGTCTCATATCGAAAATTTTACCCGACCGTCGTGCAAGTAAATCAATTTTCGCTCCTCTGTCGTTTGTATCTATAGGTGTGATTTTTCCTTACATTTCATTGTTTTCCCTCGGTATGATTCAGCGAGGGTTGAACGTTAGGAAAAATATTGTTCCTTCCGTGCGAGCGGCTATACTTTAGTGTTTCGGTTTGAAGAAATAGAAAAAAAGTAGTATTTGGGAAAACTTGTGCTAATGCTCTTGAGCCCGAGGCAAAGTGTGAATAGTGTCCAGGTCAGTATTCTGAAGTGCTATCTATACAAGTGGCAATAGAAGTGAAAGCAAAGTGTTGGAAAAATCTCGGTTGCCTCAGTAGGGCATGGGAAAACTATGCCTTCCATCCATCCAGCGAAGCAGCTAGTGGAGAAGGACTCGAACGGTGAATTGATTGTGATGTAGACATTTAGTGCTGTTTTCTAAACGAATGTCCACCCGCATGGTGCGGTACGACGGCGAAAAGATAAGGGCTGTGGAAAATGGTAAAACTTAATGGGGAAGAAAAGCAAATTGGATAGCGCAGGAGCGTTTTGCAAAAGTGATAGAGCAAAATAACCGATGCGAAGAAAATTAGGGCGGAAAGTGTTTTCGCACGATCTAGCGATCTTGTTTTGTACCAGTATGTGTGCCAGTAGGGTGCTGTATCGATGAATGTGAAATACCGTATACATCATTAGTGGATAATTAATCGTTCGGTAGGAATTTTCATCATCTACGCTGTTCTTCATCACGGAGCTGTTTTTAGGACTAGGATAAGCCGGCGTTGTTTGCACATTAGTGGAATGAAGAAAAGAGCAAATGCCTAGATGTATGCAGCATCTCACATCCGGGTTTGCTTGTTTCCAAGGGAGTTGTCACCATGTGGATAGAGGTCGTCCTAACCAACTCGTTTGTCGTCGCTATAGGGTGAGTGAGCATGAGTGGAATTATGCGAGTATAATGCCCTAATTTGAAGACGTCAACACTTTACGGGGGTTGACGAGTGTTTTCAGTTTTTTTTATGTGTATAAATGCGATGATTTATTTAACACTGAACCTTAAACCACAATCTTGGAGTAAATTTATATTTATGTTGGAAAAAAAAAACAAATTAAGGCCAACATTATATAGAGTAACTTACGTATTCTAGACAATCTTAGCAGCGTCACGCACACATACATAGTAATGTATATCAAAATTGAGCGTACAGATGTAATTTTATAAAAATCAGCTGTAAAAGTCCAATTTAAAGAGAAACGTTTCTAAATTTTTGGTTGCTGAATAATCATACATTTTTCAGTTATTGGTACAGTATTGTGGTTATTTGGTTGCGTTTATTAAAAGTAAGAGCTATTTGAGAAAAACGCTTTTTTCTTGAAACACCTTAATATATTGACATGCAATGAACTAAACTTTTTGAAATTTAGCTCATTTTTAGTCATAATAAAGATCATTAATCCACTAGGTAAAAAGTTGAAAATTGAACGTTTTACTAAAATAAATCTAACTACATATAGATTCTTCCAATAAAGTCCGAAACTGTAGCGAAAAATCAATAAATATCATTAAGACCCCTAGCCAATATTAAAAAAAAATGTTTATATTTATTGCTGCTTGCTACGCTATCCACTTCAGTCGTTCAAAACGGGTTGAAATCGTTTTTACAACGCTACAAACTTCTCAGATGAGGGCCACTATTGTCGGCAGGCTCTTTTTCTTTGGCTTCCTTTGAATGTTTACTGCGTGTTAACCAGCTGTTCTATTATTGGCAACACGAAATCAGCCATATTTTGTAGTGCGTATATTTCATTTGAAGAAACACCAGGCATAACAGGTTTGCTCAGTCGTAAAAATGTAATCAGATTGAAGCTGAAAGACTAAGGAATCGAATACAGCGAAATTGACGATTACATTTTGGTTGCCGAAAACAGACAATTTGCCCTATATTGATGTTATTTTTTAATAATTTTATAATATTAAATTTTTTTAATAATATTGATCAGGTTTAGAATGTACTGAAATTGTTTTGGATTTTTTTCGCGGTTCATTTATCGGTTCTCACGGCATTTAAAGCTCAATCACATTAGCTTAATTGAGCCGATATTTTATTATTTTTAGTTTAACAAGAATAACTTAATACTACGGCTAGTAGGGGTGGACCGATTACTCGCGGTTTACTCGAGGTTAAAAAAGGGTAACCCATGGGTACTCGGGGTTTTGAGGGATGGATCAGGTGAGGAGCATGGAAATTGGGACTCTTTGCCTCATCGAAGAGTTGTCGCCAGCACTATATTTAGCGTTGTGCATTGTGACCAGGGTTCGCGTCTGGTGTTCAACCGGCTCATCTAATCGACGGAACAAGACAAACATAGATAAGAGAAAAAAAACACAAACGAATTAAATTCGTATGCTAGACATTTGAACAAAAAAAAAACACATAAATCAACTAGAGATCGTGAGTTTCCAACACGTCTCTAATAGGAACATAGGGTTGGATCTCAAGGGTATTCAAATGGCGGCGCCATTATCCGCACACTGCCAAACTGCATTAGTGTACTCATCACGCGAATGAAGTTCCGACTTTAAGCCACGCTCTCGTAGAAACATAAGGCATTATTGCATTTATCCGCCGTCAAAGTTTTCCAGTGTCCCAATCGGTTTGCCAACTCGAAAGGGTACTCTGACGCACTAAATGAAAAAAAAAAGAACCGTGTGAAATTTGCCTGTCATACAATACGCCTTCTCATTGCGTGGGATTGAGAAATGTGAGGGGACCCATACAAAGGTAATCATAAACTCCCGATCATCAATTTTGGGTTACACCCAAAAAAATATGTAAATGCGTTTTGTTCATATCGCTGTCATTATATGTCCAATTTAGCAAAGTAACAAAATTGAGCAAACAAAATATTCTCAAGAATCATGACGTATTTTCTCAGAATTGGGTTGGTCAAATTTTGAAATGAAAGTAGAGAACTACTTCGGCCTAATCGCCCATTTTGGGCCTATCGAGCAGAAAACTTCAAATAAATCCATGATTTCAGAGTTAACAAGTCAATTATGCGTTTGGTACGATACTTTAGTTAATAAGCTACCGAACGAAGTCAATGAGAACGCGTGATATGAAGGTTTGCACCCATTATTCCCATAAACAAAAGAAGCGCTCTGACCAAATCAATTTTTATGGCGTTTCAATGCGTTAGGCCGAGTTTAGAATCCGTAGGCCGAGTTTGGCGTCAAGAAGCAGTGTTAGACTTTTAACAATATCTCAACAATTTGTTTCTCTTTATCAAATCTATAAATTATTACCGGAAAGGTAAACAAATTTTGAAGCCATCAGTAATAATAACTTTCCGTTTGGTACTAAACTGCGCTAGATTAAGAAAGACTAAGTGCGGTTTGTGCTTAATAGGCCGGAAATGGGGTAGCTAACCCTAGTAGTACTGTTATCATATACCGAACGGGCCACTTTGGTGCAAATTTGGTGGAAAAATTTAGAAAATATTTAATTCATAAGAATATTTATTCAATTCACCAATCAAAAATTTGTGGTCACCCCACAGTACGATGTATGTACAGTTCGCTTTTGGCTTGCAACGGTAGCAGTTAAGCTCATGCCGAGCTCTGTGTGTTCATTTTTTTCTTCCGGAATCGATGACTTGATGCATAGTCATGATTCATATATTTTCCAATTTTTTCCACCAAATATTCTCAACTAGAGCCCGCTGGGTATTGAATATATGTTCAATCACCACCTTCATTTCAGAATTTGGCGGAGTCAATTCCAAGAAAATTAGTAATTAGTGTAAATTTTGAAATGTTTTGTAACTTTAGCTGATTTATGGTCGAAGTAAATTTCATTCAATACCTTTCAAATGACCTAATGAGAACAAATATTGGACGTCAAATGACAGAGACATGAACAAAACACATTTGCATGTTTTTTTGGGAGTAATTAAAGAAATGATCGCGACTGTCGATTTTTTGACCAACGCACTTATCTGCTCTCATACTTTAGAAAGGAAATGATATGAGTTTCAGTTTCAACGACTTCAATCGAACTGAGACTATCCGACTATGCGAAGTTGATTGCTGCCCGCTCAGCATCATAATCGGAACAAGGTTCCTGAAGTTTGTCGATGGCACGTGGCCCTCTTACGGAAACCATACCATCATCTGCAATTTGTCTTTGCTTGCATTATTATGCCAATATTTCAAACCTTTTGCATTATTTTGACGTTGGACTTCGTCTTTGTTTTCTATATGGGAGTACACTTTATGAGCACGAAAAATGAACATGTAACGAAATGTGGTCAGGGTTTGACCGACTATAACTCGGCTATTTTATGATACATTTCAATACTATTGCATCTATCGATCGGAATTTTTTCTATGTATCGATTTCATTAAGAAAAATTCAGGAAAAGTTTCTACAATACACTTTAGAAAAATTGGTGAACCTCAAGAACCATCAGACCTTAATGTACTGTTCCAACAATTTTTGGCATGATTGCAGTCAACCAGCAGCCACTATATAAGAGAGCAGTATCGCGCCACGCACTCAGTGCCCCAGTCTACATGGTGACAACAACAAGACAAACATTGCTGTTGGCTTTCCGTAACGACGAATAACTAAACAAAGGGGGTTATTCCGAGAGTTGAAGTGACTTTTGTCACTAGTGAGGTGACAAAAGTCTCGTCGTGGAGACGTGACTCTCCATTTGAGTTGCACAGAGAGTCATATTACCACGACGTGATTTTTGTCATCTCACTAGCGACAGAGAGTCACTTCGACTCACGGAAAAACCCCAATTGCTTCTCAAGTTGCCAACAAACTAGCGGAGTAAAACCCGTATGAAACCACCCGCCACGTGCTGCAACCTGATTGGATCATGCAATTCATCAATCACCATCTTATAGGAATCTTACAAAAAATAAAGAAACAATGATTTGCTTAAAATAGTTTACATTTAGTAGCGTAGTCCTACGTCAACAGTTCGTACAACCCTATTGGGCTGTCCCTAGCATTTGTTTTAGCATGGGATCTATTTGCATGCTTCTAAACCGTAGTATTCAAATGCAAAAAATTCAGTATCTAATACAATTTTTAAATTTTTCAAAATTCAGTATCTAATTTTTTTCCGAATTTTCAAATGTGTTGGTAACTTTAGAAATTTTTTAATTTGGTAAAATCCATGACTACTACATATATAGGAAATCTCTAAATTCACAAAATTGTCTCAACTTCAAGATTTCAAATGTTTCATAAATCAAAAGGTGGGCTGGTCTCAAACATTTTCTGTCATGAATTGTAAAATCACTCAAATATATTTTTTAAATCTCTTCGTTCGCATTTCTTACAACAAATATAATGGCAGTACTTACAATATACTGTATCGTACAACGAAGTTTTTCCATAGTGAAAGTTCTCGTATAAAAACTTCATGAGATGTTTTTTTTTAGCCACAGTGAATTTGGAATTCATCAATTTCAAAATTATAAAAAAAACCTTCCGATGACCACATTACACACTTTTTATACACATCGGTAATTGAACCATACATTTCTCGGTTGGGTGTTACCCCCCTCTCTTTAGCCTATGCACATGGTTATGGACACGTCCAAAGTTACATAAAATAAATTTTCCAAATACCACCTACCGAAAGCAATCGAACTGAATAACCGAAAGGAAATAAATTCGAAATCATAAAGTAGAAATTGTGGATAGTGAGAGATTGATTTTTGAATTTGGAATAAGGAATACTTTAATCTTAAAGATTTTAAGATATCAGATAATATTCAAGATACTGAGGTTTGGATAGATTGGTGGACAATTCAATATGTTGAAGAACATTTTGATTGTGATTAGAATTCCAGGCAAATTTCAAGTAAAAGTTTATAGTCATCTGTCGAACTGTGAAAAAAGC